TTCTCTCGCTCTGTCCAGGACACTCTGTTGTGATCCCAGTCAGAGTGGTCGGTAGTGGTAGCCAGGCACCATCTAGTTCTGGTCCCGGGGTTGTGTAGGCTATGGTTCACGTGGTCCATTAGTCCTTTGGACTAACGGATCCCTCTTGTCTTCTGTTTTCTTCACTCTCCTTTGCTCCAGATGGGAAAAGACCAATAGTTGTATGTTAGATGGCTGCTCACAAGCTTTTAAGACCCCAGATGCTACTCACCAAAGTTGGATGCAGAACATTGTCTTTATGAACTATGTTGTGCTGACTGACATAGACATCCCAAGTCTATGGTCCTTTGGCTTCGAGCCTAGGAACTTCGTCCTGCGAAGTGCTGCTACTTTATAATAATGGTCTCATACAACATTTGTCCTTTCGTGATTGACTTATTTCACTCAGCATAATGTCCTCCAAATTCATCCATGTTGTGGGATGTTTCCCGGATTTGCCATTATTCTTGATGTTGCATAGTATCCCATTGTATGTACGGACCACAGTATGTTAATCCATTCAGCTGCTGACAGTCACTGAGGTTGTTTCCATCTCTTTGCTGTTGTGAATAAGGCTGCAATGAACATGGTGGGCATACGTCTATTCATGTCACGGCTCTTACTTTTTTGGGGTATATACCTACGAGGAGGATTGATGAATCATATGGTATTTCTATTTCTAGCTTTTTAAGGAAGTGCCGTATCACTTTCCACAGGGGTCGTACCATTTTACATTCCCACCAGCATTGTGTAATTGTTCCAATCTCCCCACAACCTCTCCAACATTTGTTATTTTCTGTTTTTTTGATTACTGGCAGTAATGTCAGGGTGAGATGGTATCTCATTGCAGTTTTGATGTGCATCTATTTGCTAATGACTGTGGGCAATTATTCATGTTTGTTAGCTGCCTGAATGTCAGTGTCTGTTCACATACTTTGCCCAATTTTTAATCGGATTGTCTTTTTATTGTTGAGGTCTTGAAGTTTTCTATAAATTTTAGGGATTGGATTCTTGCTGGATATGTTGTAGCCAAATTTTTTTCCCCAATCTGTAGGTTCTCTTTTGACGCTTTTGGAGAAGTCTTTTGCTCATCCTAAGTATTTAATTTTTAGGAGGTCCCATTGACCTAGTTCATCTTCTGCTGTGTGTGCATTTTTATTTATGTCTGGTATTCTATTCATACCATATATTAGGGCCCCTATCATTGTCCCTAATTTTTCCTCCACGATCTTTATAGTTTTAGGTTTTATATTTAGGTCTTTGATCCATTTTGAGTTAGTTTTTCGGTATAGTGTGAGGTATGGGTCTTGTTTTTATTTTTCTATAGACAGATATCGTTTTGACAACACCATTTGTTGAAGAGACTGTCTCTTCCCCATTTAACGGACTTTGACCCTTTGTTGAAGATCAGTTGTCAACAGGTGGATGGATTTATGTCTAGGTTCTCAATTCTGTTCCATTCGTCTACTTGTCTGTTGTTGTACTGGTACCAGGCTGTTTTGACTGCTGTGGCTGTATAGTAGGTTCTGACATCACGTAGTGTGAGGCCTCCTACTGTGTTGTTCTTCTTCAGAAATGCTTTGCTTATCCAGGGCCTGTTTCCTTTCCATATAAAGTTGGTGATTACTTTTTCCATCTCACTGAAGATTGCCGTTAGTATTTCGATTGGGATTGCATGGTATCTGTAGATGGCTCTGGGTAGCATTCACAATGTTGAGTCATCCTATCCATGAGCATGACATGTTTTCCATTTATGGAGGTCTCTTTTGGTTTCTTGCAATAGTGTTTTGTAGTTTTATTTGTATAGGTCTTTTACATCCCTGGTTAGATTTATTCCTAAGCATTTTATCTTTTTTGGGGGGAGGGGGGGCTATTGTAAATGGTTTTGTTTTTCGTGATTTCTTTTTTGAAGTTCTCTTTGTTGGTGTAGAGGAATCTAAATGATTTTTGTATGTTCATCTTGTATCCTGCTACTTTGCTGAACCCTCCTATTAGTTTCAGTATGTATGTGTAGGATCATATTATGTGTGAGAAAAGATAGTTTTACTTCTTCCTTACCAGTTTGGATGCCCTTTATTTCCTTTTCTTGCCTTATTGCTTTAGCTAGACTTCTAGTACAATGCTGAATAAGAATAGTGATACAGGGCCATCCTTGCCTGGTTCCCATTCTCAGGGAAATGTTTTCAGTCTCTTTCTGCTGAGAATAATGTTGGCTGTTGGTTTTATATAGATGCCCTTTATTATGCTGAGGAACTTCCTTTCTATTACTATTTTGCTGAGAGTTTTTATCAGGAATGGGTGTTGGCCTTTATCAAATGCCTTTTCTGCATCGATTGAGATGATCATGTGATTCGTTTATTTTCTTTATGCAGTGGATTACATTGATTGATTTTCTAATGTGAAACCATCTTTGCATACCTGGTATGAATCTCACTTGGTCATGATATATTATTTTTTTTGATACGATGCTGAATTCTATTGGCTACCGTTCTGTTGAGAATTTTTGCATCTATATACATGAGGGATATTGGTCTGTGATTTTCTTTTTGTGTGGTATCTTTGCCTGGCTTTGGTATTACAGTTATGCTGGCTTCACAGAATGAGTTTGGAGTATTCTTTCCTTTTCTGTGCTCTGAAATAGTTTGAGTGGTATTGGTGTGAGCTCTTCTCTGAGTGTTGGTAGAATTCTTTAGTGAAGCCATCCAGACCAGGCCTTTTTTTGGTTGGGAGGTTTTTTTAATTATCTCTTCACTCTCTTCTTTTGTTATGGGTCTGTTCAGTTTTTCTACCTCAGTGTGTGTCAGTTTAGGTAGGTAGTGTGTTTCTAGAAATTTGTCCATTTCCTCTAGGTTTTCAAGTTTGTTGGAGTACAGTTTTTCATAGTATTCTGTTATAATCCCTTTTATTTCAGTTGGTTCTGTTGTAATGTTACCTACCTCATTTCTTATATGGGTTATTTGCTTCCTCTCCTGCTTTCCTTTTGTCAATTTGGCAAATGGTTTGTCGATTTCATTGATCTTTCAAAGAACTAACTTCTGGCCTTGCTGATTCTTTCTATTATTTTTCTGTTCTCTATTTCATTAATCTTTATTATTTCCTTTCTTCTGTTACTGTGGGCTTCCTTTACCGCTTTCTTTCTATTTGTGTCTCAAATCTGTTCTTGAGATGGTCTCTAAATTCAGGTGTATAGTAGGCAGACCAAGCTTTAGAAAATCTCCAGGCCCAGAGCTGCCTTCTAGATATCATCTTGCCTTCAGCTCCTACTTAGGGCAGTCCCACGGAAGCCATATGATCCAGTTCAATCTTGGACAAAGGAAACTGAACAAGGCTTAGGCAACCATCTCAATACAGCCTTGCAGCTACATTTCAAAAACAATGAGAAAAGTGACTACAGCAGGCTTCTTAAACACATGTGAAAGTGGAAGTGTAAAGGAACTCAAGAGCTCTGGAGAACACCCTGGCTCACAGAAACTCCTACTGTGCAGATAAGGAAGCTAAGGACGAGCATGGCCCTCTCCGCAAGGCCACAGTACAGAAACCTTGAGATCCTTCCACACGCCTCATCAAGCCTGTCTTCTTCAGGTTCTGAAAAATGACTTCCTTCCTTTGGTCAGTTTTGCAAACTTTCCTTCAACCTCTGGAGACAGATAAAGGTTTCTCTACTTCACGTGTGACTGGCCTCCACAACATCCTCCAAGGCAATTTCCATGATACAGTTTTTCCATTTTGTATTTCCAATTTCCATCATGTAATGAAATGGCGTAACAGACTGATGGCGTTTTTCACCTCATCATCTTTCTACCCTCCCTTTTCTAACCCTATCACAATCAATTCGAATTAGCTCTGGACTTAGCACTCTCCTCTGAAAACAACGGCGGGGGGAGGCAGGGGAACGTGAGGGAGGCATGTCATACCCTGAAATAGTGCCCAGTTTTTGTTTGTTTTTTTTAATTATCTACACTGATGAAAAATTATTTCTTCCACCACTACAGAACAAATAGAATTATGGTTTATAATTCACAAATCATGTAGCTGACACAGTACTATTACTTGTTCAAACATTAACAAAATGTTTTTCTTTGCAACGATGACACTAAGCACTATGCTAGGAAACGAAATTTACAGACTATATCCGCACAGCCAACGGACAAAACATGCCCTGTGAGGAGACCTTCCACTTAACTAGGAAATGAAACTTACAGACTATATCCACACAGTCAACGCACAAAACGTGCCCTGTGAGGAGACCTTCCACTTAACTAGGAAACGAAACTTACAGACTATATCCACACAGTCAACGGACAAAACGTGCCCTGTGAGGAGACCTTCCACTTAACTAGGAAACGAAACTTACAGACTATATCCACACAGTCAACGGACAAAACGTGCCGTGAGGAGACCTTCCACTTAACTAGGAAATGAAATTTACAGAC